AAAAAGATGAATTATCCGTTTTCGGGAATCGGGTTCATTTACAGACAGAAAAAGATCCGAGAGACTGATTATGTTTCACTGATGCCAAGCAGGCTGAAGTTGAGAAAATGACGCAGAAATCGCCTTCAAAAATGCCTGAGTATACTATCTCCGCAATCAGCTATTTCATACAGCAGTGCTCAGAAAGCAATGAGGAAAATACACTTTCGTGTATATCGCATTTGTTATGCGCAGGAACTGAAGGAACTAGACGAAGAGAAACGCTTAGCGTACATACACAAAAGGTCTATATTAACACTTTGCACACTGGAAGACCTAAAGGGGAATTTTCTGACGACTTAATATTATCCACGTACAGGTACAAACTGACATCAAACATAGTAAAAAGAGTTCTCTCATGCCTTATTGCATTCTGCCTTATTATATTCTGGCTTTATCACATTCTGAGCATGAGCTACAAATGTATGGTTTTATGTTGCATCTGTACGATGTAACGTAATAAATATCTCCATGTCTTGCAATTTGCGCATCAACTCAGAAAATTCATTTGTCTTCTCTAACGTGAGTAGCTTTTTGATCATACTGTGCAAGTTAGAAATTTTACAGAAATTCTTCATAAGAATAATTATCAGGAGACTTTCGTGTTTAATAGTTTAACGTTTCATAACAAAACAAGATAAGTTACAGTTTTCTAGAACCCTTCGCATTTTCTTGCAATAGGGGAATGATTCGAATACTAGACCCATACATAGACCAAAGATTCGGAACAGCATAGTTGCACTTAAGGGGGGTAATAATTGAATATTCTTACTGCCCGTTTTCCTAACTTAAATTTACTTAGCCCATTTTACTATTTGCTTGCATGGATTTGAATGTCTAAGATCTGAATAATGCAATACATTGTTATTAACTTAACATATTTGACTGAAAAACATAGCTATGTTCTTTGGAATACAAAGGAAAAGAGCGCAGTTATAAACCGATATTATGAAAGCCAAATTTTAAGCACGTGTATTTAAACAAATGCGAATAATAAAGAATAAGACTAATAGACATTGATTAATGCATTCAGTCACTCCTAAGAGATGAAACAAATGAGCAAAATTATTTTGTTTAATTGAGCATTAAAATAGGAAAAAGATGAAAGAAATTCCTACTAAAGAAAGGAAATTTTTGTTTGTTAATAATTCCAAAACTTACTTAGAAATACCTTTAGAAACAGCTATTTTTCTTTCTAGGCTTCACAGAATTTTATTAAAAAGAATGAAGCATACATACTAAATAAAAAGTGCTTGGCTTAAAAATTAAAATATGATTTTTATTTTCAATGTTCAGGAAAAGCTATGATGGTTGGATATCAAGGCTTTGGTGGTTCATTTGAGTACTCCGTAATTTCGTTACATAATGCTGTAGTTCGTTATTTTTGATACATATTTCTGTGGATCAATCTGTGGGATTCAACACTGTATAATTCTAAGTTACAGTTGAAAGTGAAGAATCTTAAGAACTAGTAAACGAATAATCGCTTGAGTTTGTGTACAGTAAACAACAAGTAAAGAAGGGTGAAATAACCCTTTATTATTCCAATTAAAGTTTAACAAAACTCCATCTTGGAATTGTACAATAAAGCCGACACTTGGGCTTGAACTTAAGAAACTAAGAATTAAACTAAACTAATCTTAACTAAAGAGATATAGCCGAAGCTATCAAGATTATAACAGAGTTGGCCCCTTAACGTTAATTGATTGCGAAGCTATCAATGGCCTAAAGTACGGCCGAGCGTAATATTAGCTTAACGAGAGAATAGCCTAAAAAAGGCGTATGCGTGCAGCCAGAATATCTGGTATCTCTCTCATTAAGATAGAACTTCGCGATTAAATACCGCTCTTCCTCATTATGCATTCAGACGTGATTCTAAAACTACGTTCTGATCGGAAGTGGTAAGTTGAAATTAAGAATCGATAGAAAAGGAAGTTTAACTCAAAATTTAACTGTTAATAAAATTAACATAATCCTTACATATCATCAAGATATTTATTTGAATTCAGTGCAAGTTTCATTAAGATACTACTTAGTAGGAAAGAAAACTTAAGACTTTAACTGTAACTTAAGACGCAACCTTAACACCTAATATTGCCATTGATCCACTGCATTTAAAAATTTTTTTATAGGTACAGTACTTCAGTTTTCAGGTAAGAAAACAGGAGGTTAAATTTATTAATTAACACCGAACACAAAAGCAGTGATGTTACATGTAAAATAATAAGTTATGAAACACTCTAGTGTTTTATTGTTGATGAGTTAAGTATCTTTTTTGTAAATAATGTTAGAACCTTTAACTAAAACACAAACCTACAGCAATTGTTTTTATAAAGAAAGCACTATATACACTTTTTGCCATTATAAAAAAGTAAAAAATAAAAAAAAGGGAAGCGCCTTGAAAACATTACTGTTTTCAATGAAATTAAATATGCGTTAAGCTCATACACAGGTAATGATGTGATTAAAATTCAAGGCCATAGGATGCATCAGTGGCTAGCAATTACACATTGAATGTTCAAAATCAGTAGCTGATGAATTTCCCTTCCTGGCGGCGATGCATGCTTGCAAACGCTGAGGTAAGGAGTGAAAAAATTCTCAATACTTCTGAAATATTGCTAAACTCATTCCTTAACTGTTGCTCCAGATCTGCGACAATTTGGGCTGCCCGAATCTGGCGGTCTTTCATATCCCGTACATGTTCGACTAAAGGCTTGGTGACCTCTGTAGCAAAGGAAGAGTATCAACAGCTCTGAGACAGTCCAGAAATGTACGAGCCATAGGAGGTCTAGCATTATCCTGCTGGAAAATGGCTCCAGGATGGCGTGCCATGAAGGGTAACTCAAACGACTGCAGAATGCCATCAACATATCATTTAGCTGTGAAAGTTGTATGCAGGATGACTAGGGTCGACCTACTGACGTAAGAGATAGCACCCCACATCATCACACTAGGGTTAATAGCTGTGTGCCTGTGTGAAGCGAAAGCTGATTGGGACCGCTGGCCTGGACAGTGCCTACACACGTACCCAATGGCCTTCTATTTTTTCCAATACTGAAGCAGATTCATCGCTAAACATTATGCCAGTTGCTAACTTTAAAAAAAAAAGACTTTTATGAAGACCAATACAATTTTTATTTCTTCTTTATACTTCAAACAATGCAAGTTAAAAATACTTTGATTTTACCCAAAAGAACGAAACAAAATGCAATTAAAAAGGCAACTGAATATTGAGGTGAAAAAAATCTGCGTTTTGCATGGAGTTTGATTTCGATGTGTCCTATTGATTATCTCCTTTTTTCGGTCAGCACAGTTTCAATATTTCCTTCAAGTTGCATTAAACTGATAGATTTTTGTGCCCTTGAATGCTAAATATCCAGAATTAATTTTTTATGGAAAAATATTTCCCGTTTCCAGAGCTCATTAGATCTATTAATAGATTAAGCCGCCAAGCTTATATTGTCTTCCTTTTTTTTTTCTCTTTTGTAACCCTCTACGGGGTTGCGTACACTGGCTTATTATTTTACGATGATACTCTTGGGTCATAATAATACGCACCTGGTTTCTACGTTGGCTAGTCGGCCTGCGCTGTCATAGACGGTTGTGGCTTAGGCAATCCGAGTGGGCTAGCGTGACAGTCAGAAACATGGAATCTATAGATTGCCTGCCTCCTTGGTGATCTCCGAGCACCCAAAGTTTCATGAGAGCCCTGTGTTACCCTTTCTTCTAAAAGGTCTGCGACGCGGGGTGTTGAGGCCCCTGTAGCGTATCAAGCGAGTTTGTTAAATTCCTCTTTTAAGGAATTTCTATGGACACTACTCGGCCCTTCCGCCTAATACAAAAGGAAGCTCAATAGATGCCACCTTAGTTGCATTTAATTGTAGGAAAGGTTAAATATGTGACTGATTCTTTTCCATTTAGCCTGCAACAACCGCTTTCACCTACATGCTGGCTGTCACAGATCTGTGTAGATATTGATAGACGAATAAAATTTTGAAAATTGCTTCTTAAACTTATCGCTAAGTCAACGGTGACTGAACCGCCGTGACTAACACAGCTGAACAGAAAGTATAGTGTTAGTTAACGGGTACTGACCCGGTTCAAATGGAAAGTATACAGTCTGTCATCGGTGACTGAAATGGCACTTAACGTGTTAATATATTATTTTGCAAAAGCAATGCTTTTAAGTCCGTTTATTCCGGAAAAAAGTTTTAAGTATTACTTGGCCATAATAATTTTTTTCGTCCTTCCAACAGTTTCCGGATAAAATAGGCATAATTACAAAAATTATCAGCTTTTGTTATCTGTGACACATTTAGGGGATAGTATTACTTGGATTACGGCAACGCATTCGAGGACTATCTGGCAAGTGGAGAGATGACTTCATGAAGAAATGTTTAACGGAAAACTGACTCGTATGGCACATATACCAGGTTGTTCAATAAGTTCGCAGAACGGAAATGAAGAAAACAATTTTTATTTGTAAAAATGACTTTATTTTTCAATATAGTTTCCCTCAACTTCAATACATTTATTCCAACGGTCTTCTAATTTATGGATCCCTTGACTGTAGTGGTTTTTTGGCAGCTTTTCAAAATATCCTTCCACGGCAGCTATTACCTCTTCGTTTGAAGAAAATCATTTTCTATGGAGATATTGTTTGAGGTGTGGGAAGAGCCAGAAGTCGGAGGGAGCTAAATCTTACGAATAGTCTGGATGTTGCAACAATTCGTACTTCAATTCAGTTATTTTAGCAATGGTTTTTGAGCTGTGTGCGCAGGTGCGTTATCTTGGTGGAAAATGATTTTCTTCTTCTGTAATCCGGGTCTTCTTTCACGAATGTTTTCGTCTAATTGTTTCAAAAGGTTACAATAATAATCCGAATTAATTGTTTTGCCAGTTTTGAAACAATAAAGGTAATCTATAAACAAAATTCCTTTCGCATCCCAAAAAAACTGATGCTAACACCTTCTTGGCTGATTTTTGCACACGAACTCGCTTCGGCGCCGAAGAGAGCCGGGTTCAACACCACTCCTTAGCCTCCTGGCTAAGCAGTTTGTGATTCCCGGATCATGATGGTAGACCCAAGTCTCATCCATTGTGATAAATCGACGGATAAAGTCGCTTTTATTCTTCTTAAAACGCACCAAATATTGCTGGCAAAGTCGCCTCCGAATGTGTGTTTGCTTCATCGTTAGAGAATGTGGCACCCATTTTGCACAGAGTTTTTTGAAACTCAAATTAACACTCAAAATATTGATCACTGTGCCCAATGAAATGCCTAAAGCCTCTGTTAAATCTCTTTCAGTCAATCGACGGTCTTCCAATACCATATCTTGTATTTTTCCAATGATTTCCGGTGCTGATGCAGTTTTTGGACGTTCCTCTCGCGGATCGTCTTCAAGGCTGGTACGATCACTTTTGAATAAACTAGCCCACTTGCAAACCATTGTTTTTGAAGGAGCAGATTCACCCAACACATTCACCATTTCGGTATGAATTTCCATTGCCTTTAAACCTTTCTTTACAAAGAATTTGATAACTGCATGTTGCTCAATTTTATTAATACCTGAAAAAAAAAAAAAAAAAAAAAAAAAAAAAAAAAAGGACAACACGTTAGATATAAAGGGCGGTTAAACAATGAATAAATTAACAGATCGAAATGAAACTTTTGACGTGTTCCTAAGAAAGAACAAATATGAAAATGGCTTCGAAGTTTTGCGTCTAATATTGACGAATAGATGGCGCTCATCGAACTTATTGAACAACCAACAAGGAGGAAAACCAGGAAAAGGGTTGTACGGCCAGCCCGTTCACCCCATTTGAACATGGGTCGAACTATCAGTTTCCGAGGTCTTACCGCCTGAAGCAATTAAGAGAGATTTCCTTTAATTATTGTTTCAATTATACTTCGGTTTTCCTTTGCATTTAATTTCTATGAGCATTCTGACCATTTCTTTTAAAATGCCATTCACTTAAAAGTTTCTAATCACCTTCTGGATGAAGTAATGAATTTTTCAACTGTTTTGGTCAGTTTCTCATAAAGATTTACTATTTTTGTATAGATATTAAATGATTTAACTTTCAATCAAATTAACTTCTTTTCTTTAAACTCTGTTTTCCAATAAGTATTTTTTAATTTGGAAACTCCCGTCTAAAGTAACCTACTAAATGCAATATTGGCATTTATAGCTACTGCTGCTGATCTTAAAACCGAATCCAGCATTTGTCTTTCTAGTAAGTGTCCGTCAGATTTATTACTAGCATTTTTTAATTTTAATTTTTTTAATATTCCCTCGCTGTTTTTTAAATTAAATATTTTCCGATATACATTACTTGAATAATAAAAGCTGAAAATGAAAGAAAAAAATAAAATTACATTGATTTTTATGAAATCTGTTTTTAATAGTTTTCTTTCCATGTATGATTTTTGTATGAGACGGTACTTACGCATTGTTACGTCGACTGAAAAACTGTCGCCAAGCAGTGCGATTTAGCGCCAGTTATGGATAACCTTGACGTAACAACACACTCATAATATCTGCGCTTTCGTTTCATGATCTATGGTAAATTCTCAATAAGACATGCTTTGTTTTTTATGAACAAAGATATAAATTTATTCTTACTGCTATATATTTCCCTTGCACTTTGTAAAAAAATGATTAAGACTTGTGTCCTACCTTTCATAAGACAGTAATCATTGGGTTATTTTCAAAGTTATGGGATCCTATCATAAAAAATATGCATTAATGAACGGTTACAGCCAAAAACATCGCGGACGAAAGCGTCGCGGAGAAAACAACGCAAGGCGAAAACGTCATGGTGCAAAACATCGTGGGGAGAAAATAAAGCAAAGAGAAAACATCGCAGTTCTAAAACTTCGTGGTACAAAATATCGTCGTCAAAAATAAAGCGGTTCAAAAACTTTAGGTTTAAAAACATCGTCGTCGAAAATAGCGTGGTAAAAAATAAAGTACGTACAAATCATCGCAGGCATACGTTTTTCAGGCTTTAATAATTATAAATAGATATTCGCATAAAGATTTATGAGCGCAAGATGGAAAGAAGGATAATTTTTACTTTCATATTTTTTATTAACTAATAATTTTTTTTAAAAAAAGAGAAATTTAAACATAACAAGAAACAATTTTCACTGTCAGAGTATCAGATTAACAAAAGTGAAGAAAATAATCTTAAAAATAACGTAGGAATTTTTTTATAGATAAGGTCATGCAGTTACTCATTACCAGTAAAGCTTTATAAAAATTACCAGTAAAACTTTATAAAAAAATAATTTGTTAATGACCTTTGTTAGTTAATGATATCAGTTTAAAATTCCATTAAGTACTAAGTTGCATTAATTTTCTATGCTTAAGTTCCCATTTTACATTTTCAGGAAATATTTATAAGTTAATAAAAAATTATGAGAGTAAAAATTATCTTTCTTTCCATATTACGCTCACAAATCATCATGCGAGTTTTTACAATTATTAAATTTTACAATTATTAAAGCCAGAAAACGCATGCCTGCGATGTTATCGTCAAGCAATGATTTGGCACTTTATTTTTTACCACGATATTTTCGACTGCGATGTTTTTGAACCACTTTATTTTCGACGATGATGTTTTGTACCACGATTTAGAACTGCGATGTTTTCTCTTTGCTTTATTTTCTCCCACGATGTACTGTACCAAGACGTTTTCACCTTGCGTTTACTTCGCGACATTTTCGTCCGCGATGTTTCCAGCGGACACCTAATGAACACGATATGGTCAGTCGAATATGGCCGAAAAACACTAATAGATTGGAAGGAGTATCCACCCCCCTGTACTCATAACGTTCTAAACAGATCTTTTTGTAAAATTGGAGTGTCTAACAGAATAATAGCAAATCAGCGAGAGCCATTCTACGAAGAGCAAAAACAAAGCGGGTTATTAAATGCAGAGTCGTCAGTTCCTTGAGAATTCCGCAGAAATGATTGGTGTTAGTTACTTTGACGATATTTCAGCCAAATTTCATAGTCAACGAATGATAGGATAATATAGTTAATGCACACATAAAAGGAAAGCAATAATTTCGATATTTTAGACCTTTTAGCAGTGCACTATTATATCTGCTTAAGTGTAAAATGCTGAAGAGAAGAAATCTTATACAGTTTTAACTTTATCTACTTTAATGGATTTAAGAATTTTATTAAAAATTATATTGTGTCAAGAATTGACTGCTGGCGCCTGACTGGCGACTTATGTGTCATTGATGCCCAAAGATAAAGTTGAAACATAGAGTCTACCACCCAAAATTAAGTTCCCTTTACCAGCAGGATTTACTTTAGAGAATTCTTATGTTAGACATTTATTAAATTTTGGTCATTTTTGTAATTTGTTTTCCTATCACGGATGATCACATGTACATCTACAAGACACGACGGTATTCGTTTTCAAGAGTGCTCATGGAACACTTTCGATGTTTCATTCCAAGAGTTACCTTATCTGATACTCATCTGACAGGCACGGGGTGGCCAAGTGAGACATCATGGCAGATCCTTCAGTTAGGAAGCATTTTTCTTCCCCTTAGCCATAGACAAGTATGATAAATTATCTTTCAAAGTAAAACATCGGCTGATGGCTCAAACATCGGCACGTTTGAAACATGCTAGCGTTTTGTTTTTCTTTTACTCCTAGAAATAAAGAAGTTTCATTAATTACGTCATTGAAAAATATGTCTCGGCCATTACTTATATATTCCATGGGAACAACTGCTTGATATTCTGCACGAATCAAGGTTGGAATCAAAAATTTTGGAAAAAGAAATCTTCGACTATGTTTAAAACTTTAAATTTTTCTACGAGAGTGGGCAATTCTTTCATTATATTAAAGTTTATGCTTAGAAAGAAGTTGAAGAAAATGATGCTGCTCGAAGCATTAAATTCTACTTATTTTAAAAGACTTTAAAAGTAAAAAAAATCACCCGACATAAAATTTTGTGAATAGTAATAAAATGTCAAAACATCCTGAGGGACTTTTTCTTAATGTGTCAAACTGTCTAAAAATGCCGAAATGAAAAGTATATAAGATACAGAAGATTTTTCGATAGTTATGTATTAACGCAATATGGTGGTTTTTACAGATGAAAAGATAAAAAAGCACTTATCGGATGAATTGTTGCAATTTTCGCTACTCGAAATTTATCTTTAGTCAGCGAACATCATCAACATAACAAAACACATTTTAAGAATTTAAAATACAAATTTTAATTATTAAATAAGATTATATGGCACATTAAAAAATTAAACCCATTTTTTGCGAGTTCTTCTTCCTTTGTACACAGTGATCTGTTTTCTCTAAAAAATATCAGAGTATTGTGCAAACTCGGTATTTCGCCCTAGTTATCTACCAAACGCATCTCATAATTGTTTCCCCTAGCTATTTATCATCTAAATACTGTACTTCCATGGAAAGTTTATCTGTTCCCTGCAAATTTCGCAAACGATATATTAAAACTGAGTTTAGAGGGAAAAAAAAACCCTCCCAATTTGTCTATAAAAACTTTTGGAACTTGGAAACCAATAAACATATATGGAAATGTCGACGTTACTTAACTAAAAGACTGTTATGAGCAGAGCTGCCAAAGGCTGGCACATTTCGAAAATTTGGAGGCTTCCCTTAAAGTGTTTGCGATAATACGTAAGTACTAATTTTTCTGAGTAAATTTTCATACTAACATAATGTCCCAATTGTGTCTTCTGCTGGGAGAACATAAAATTCCAAATTTAGGTTGATATCTGTGAGGCCCGTAGAAGTCGCTTATGGCTGTAATTTTCAACTCTTCCCTTCTTACTCTTATAATATATTTAGGTTGCGAGTTACTTAAGGGGCTCCATACACCTTAAACCCCTTATGATTTTCGAATATGTGACTGTTGCAAGAACTGGGATATTTTACTTACTTTAAAAGTATTTACTTTTAACTTTTTACAGTTGACTGCATAATATAGCTGCTTTGGAAACTAGTAACCAGAAAGTTAGTGTTACCACACATATTTTTGTAATTTAATCCGCTTTGTGACAAAATCTTTCGTCATGTTTCCTGCTTGTTACGTACTATTTTTATTTTATTACAGCATTAATTCCACTAGGTTATTATGAATATGACAGTACTACGAATATTACACATTTGTTTTAAGTGTATATGACATAAAAAGTTCGTATTATTTAGCATGGAAAATTAAGTGTATGCGATGCTTCACTCAATAGTACATAATCCAGCTCACCATGAAACACTTGTATCTGCTGAATTTACGTTATGCATAAGTCTTGTACATGTGATTAGAAAATATATTTTTTTATGTTTATTACCTTTCATTCTTCATTTATTGTATTAATAATAAGTATAACATTTATAATGCGTTTTATCATGCAATCTGTTTGTACACAGACGACATAAATTTGCGATTTCATGAATACGAGACAGCATTTTGCTTTCCTTAGGATTTTCTATGTCAGCAAAACTTTCTTTTCTCTAACGTATTTAGTTATAAGACTATAGCATATAATAT